TCCTGTATACTTTAGTAATATATATTTATGGTGATTTTCAAGAAAAACAAACAAAAAACAAAAAGGTTGTTAAGTATGAATGAATGAAAAGAATGTTTCAAAACAACAAAAAATATTTTATTCATCAAATGAATATTTAAATTTTAATACTTAGATTGCATAAAATTTTTATTATATAAATAAATCTTTAAATAATTTTCTAATTATTAATTATCATCATAAAGAATATTATACACTCATCCGATTATACGCACACTAAGTTTTTCTTTTCGTTCTGTCGTATGTGTATATATATAAGCATGCGCCTGAACGAAAGAAAGAGCAAAACATTTCTTGCAGGGGGATTTTATTTGAAAAAATTTTGCTTGGAACTACAGTCTACCCCGCGCTAATATTCTAAGGTAGTACTCAGTTTTTCTGTCCTCTCTCTGTCGACACCAATCTTACGTGTTTGACTTTCAGAAAAATTTTTTCAACGGTTTGATATGAATTAACAATTCATGTCAACAGTGTATCTGTAGTGTTCAGTAAAAAAAGACTTTTCTTTTATTTTTAACCTTGAGAATTTTCCGACTATTATTTCGTGCATTTTTTGTAGATTTTTTTGTAATGTATTATTTTCAATGGATACGGCAGTTATTACATAAAGTTAGTGAGTATGCTACAAAACTCTTATCACAAGAAATTTTTAACATGGATATAAATGCAGAATGGTATGTACCATCGTTTTGATAAATAGATGCTGTATTATGTTTTGTTTTTTCATTAGTACGAATGATCATAACTCTCACATCAATAAAAAATATAACAATTTTGAAAAGCATCAAGCGGAACCGCAATCAAGAAAGAAGAGACTTGGATCAAATGCAATACGTCATATATTTCATGGAGTAATAGATCTAAATAATGATGGTATTTTAGTAGCTCAAGGTGTACATTCACTTGTTGATTGTCCCAGTAACGTAAAAGTAGTTAGAAGAATCCAAAAGCCAGATAGAAACAATGTTTATGCAGTTAGACTAGCCATGACAGATTTAGAAACAGGTAAAATTTATAAAAAAAACTCAACAATGTTTCCAGAAACATGGTCAAAAGAACGAATCATAGCTGAAGTAGAATCCGTTTTGGAAAGAATAACAATATGTCCAACAACAACAGGAAAATCTCTTACCCTATGTTTTTCATCATTGACATCTCCAAGTGGTATACCATTGAACATTATTTATGAAAATGGCCGTCCTGTATCTGCATATCCAATATGGCAAAAATAACCGTTATTATGACTTTGACTTCAAAAGAAAGCATAACGATGAATAGTGGATCTCTTTGTGCTATTACCGACATTTATTGTACATACGTAGTATTTAGTTTGTCTATACCATTAATCCACTCTAAACACTGTAAATTACAAAAAAATATCAATATGATTTTTTTTCAAATAAACAAGTCAAATATTTTCAAGTTATTAAGCAACACTTTTGTTGATTAAAACGTATTTTCATGAAGGAGAACGAAGAAGTCGATAATATACACTTTGTTTTAAAATGCAATTTACTGTATTACACTCTGTGTAGATTTCCCGATTTTTTATAACACGGATCTTACAGATGCCGGGTAAAGGTGAAGATGGGTAGAAAATATTTCCAAACATTGGAAAATTGTACACATTTATAGAAAAAATTCTTATCTCTGAAAAAAGTCAGCGAATTTTTTTTTAAATAGAAATAATTTATCCTTATAGTGAAAGAGTAATAGAATGATTCTATAGTTTTTCGACTACAAAAAAATACACGACTCGTTGGACTCAATCGGAAGTTATTTTATGTAGTAGATCTTAATAAGTAATATTTACAGTAAAAAACAAGTTTAGAATACCGTTCTATTGAGGAGATATGGGATGCACAAGTGTAGCTGGCAAATGCATTAAATGAAAAAGTCAAAAAATTTCGAAATTTTTCTATATTTTATTGTCTCCTTTTTTTTGACATTCAATAAGCGAAAATCAGTCGCAGCTATATACTTCATTTATCTGAGAAAATTTTTCCTAGCACCATTCTTGTTTCCTATTGCAAATTGAAGGTGCTCATACTTAGTCTTCAGGAAGTCACTAAAGATTGATTTCACAATTTGGTGACTTACGAGGGAACATATTTAAGTGCCCATCCCCTCCCCACCCTCCTGAGAAAGGGTTTTAAACCATTCTATCCTGTAGGGACCTTGATATATATCATGAATATCAATGTCTTAGCTGCTTTCGTTTAAGTCTGAAAAAAATAGAGAATAAACTTTTTTAATTTTTCATATATTACAGATATGATTATATATCATTTTTCGTTTATGTAAAATTTGTAACAATTATAAATTTTTTTGTAAAATACTATGAAGAATGAATACAATCCACTAGAGAACATATACTTTTCTATCATAATTAAAAATATGATCCTTTTCCTATCCATATAAATGAGGAAACCTCGGATTTAAATCCGAGTATTATGTGTGCTTCAAAAAGTGTAGAAACGATTCCTTAACCCAACAGCTTTTGTTCAGAATTTTCAAAATCTGACTTCAGATTCAGATTCCTCGACCCCAATTTGTTTTCGCCAACCTTTATAAAATATCGCTATTTTCTCAAAAAACCCTTTCCTTGGCCCAAAATTTTCAGCTCAATTTTTAATGCTTTACATACCATTTTGTAGCTCGTGAAATTCTATATCGAACGGTGTATAATAGTTGGGGGTTCATATGACTGCGATAGGAAAAGTGTTTTACGAATGTGGAGATATATCGATTTTCCTATAGGAAGCTATAGAGAAAAATGGGTATTTTTTCAATAACTCAGGAACGACTCGGCCAATCCTTCTCATCTTTGAACTCGACCGAGATATTGTTGAGACTAAACTATGTAGAAAATTTCATCGCAATCAGACTCTCCTTTCAAGAGTTATCGAACAAACGAACGGACGGACGGACACACTGACCAATTTTAGTAGTGTACTTACTTTTTGAGTACACAATAAGTATTCATCTGATTCATAGCGTGCTTTTTCGAGCAACTATCTGTACTGATCGAATTTGTATGATCATGTACATTCCTTTCGTTCTGATTTCTATCTATATGATGATGATATTTTATCTCGTATTCTTTACTAAATTTTTTTTCTGTATGATACATTCCAGTAAATTCTTTCTCTTTCCAAGCTCCAGCGCATATATATATATCAGTCGTTTTAAAACAATTTAAGCGTGTTTGCATACGTTGCAAAGCAATATTTCTCTTTGGCCATAAACTTGAAAGTCGTCAATTACTTCACAACACTATAAAGTATCAAAAAGAGTAACCATGTTCAACGTAGCTAATGTAGTACGTTTGTTTAATGAGTTAGAAAAAGAAAAGTATCCGGATTGTAAAGAAGACAAACCATCTCCTCAGGATCACGCTGCCGCTGATCAACTCATTTCGGTATTGCAGTTGCTGACAACTTCATCCGAAATGATTGATGGCGATATTACGTTGGATATCGACGAGTATGACGATACTGATAAGTCTTATACAATTGAATCAGATGACACCAAAGAAACCTATATAGTTGGCAATCGGTCTTATTCGTATCAAACTATGCATGAAATTGTGCAGTTTTCGAATACTCACCAGTTTTCATCTGTCAAACGAAGATATCGTTTAATCAAAGATAAGAAGCACTTAAGAAGAATAAAAAAATATGTTAGACAACAAGGAACCAGGCAACAGAAATTAGAGCGGGTTGATCAATCAGTTTTAAATGAATTTAATGAAGCACGAATTAAAGGTATACCAATTCATGATCAAGATTTAAAGCGACTTGCCATCAGAAGAGCGAGCGAGATGAATTTAATGAACTTTGTTGCATCTTCATTTTGGCTACTTAATTTCAAACGTCGTCACAATATTATATCACGAAAAGTAACAAAATTCGTTACGAAAAATTATGTTGATGATAGAGAACAGGTAATTAAAGAAGAAAAAGTGTTCCTAAAGAAGGCTGAAGAAACCATTCCTAAATTCAAAGCTACACATGTTCTGAATGCTGATTAAAGTTCTTTCGGATATGAGTTGCCATCGATGCGTACTCTTTCCATCTTGAGAGAAAAAAATAACTTTAGGCCGAGTTACTTCTTGAAGCACCGTTACACATTCGCATACAATCATGCCCATCTTAAGCATGAAAGGCAAACTTGTAGGACCAGTATTTATATGTTTACAGGAGTCGTCGGGAAGGTTAGGGCCACGAGTATTAAAAACAATGTACAAAGCACGAAATATCCACGTCACATGCAGTAAATCCGGGAAGTTAACGAAGTCTCATATTAAATATTGGGCACAAGAAGTTTTGCGACCATCTGTTCAAGTAAATTGCCTATTATTGCTCGATTCTTGGTCAGAACAAACAGATCCCACAAATATTGAAGAAGCATTCGACGAAAACATTCAATGCCAACTTTTACAAATACCACCTAAGACAACAGCCGTCCTTCAGTCTTGCGATAGGTACTTCTTCAGGCAATGGAAATATTTCTATCAAAGATGTTTTGATCATGTAGCCATTGATCAGCTCAACATTGACCTAAGATTGAAGGATAATATATTGAAGCTACATTCTCTAATCCACAATAAACTTTGTTCAGATCGTTTCAGTTTGATGATTGAGTACGCTTGGTACTCGTGTGGATATACGAAACAGAAACCCGGACAATTTCAAAATGTTCGTGATATTTGTTTTTCCTTTGGTGTAGATAGATGTTCTATTATTGATTGTGGCGAGGGAAGCTTTATAGCTTGTAGTTGGTGTGATAAAATTCTATGTTTTCATCACTTTTTTGTTGCCGACCATAAGCATTTTTAGTTTGTCTAGTTGATTTCTTGTGCAATGTTTTCGCTAATTGCTTTGAAATAAAATTTCAGGTCATCCTAACTAAATTGTTGGAATGACAAGTGATAATCCAGATATATAATTATCTATGAAACGCATATGATACTCCTATTTATGATAGAAAAGTATATGTTCTCTATTAGATCGTATTCATTCTTCATAGTATTTTACAAAAAAATTCATAATTGTTACGAATTTTACAAAAACGAAAAATGATATATAATCATATCTGTAATATATGAAAAATTAAAAAAAGTTTGATTCTCTATTTTTTTTCAGATTTAAACGAAAGCAGCTAAGACATTGATATTCATGATATATATCAAGGTCCCTACAGGATAGAATGGTTTAAAACCCTTTCTCAGAGGGGGCGGGGAGGGGATGGGCACTTAAATATGTTCCCTCGTTAGTAAATTTTGTAGAAGAGACTTTGCTCTATCAAATCTTAAATATGTAATTTTATTCTAACTAAAAATGATCAGAATATTAGTATTGAATTTTTATAGAAAATATCAGTTTATAATCAAGAAAATCTGTAGGTTCATAGATTCATCGAAGAAATCTTTATTCTTATTAATACTCAAAGGTAATAAAAAAAACTAATTATACTTCATTAAAAAAAGTCTTTAAAGGCTTGTATTGGCAGATGAAAAGCTAAAGCATGCTTTAATGTTGATGTATGCAAAGCCAATATAATATTATGAAAATAAATAATTTAGAAAAATTTTTGACGAAAAATAAAATCTGATTTCAAATAAACAATAATGTATTTATTATTTACAAGGCTATCTAAAATATTTCTTTTTTGCACAGAAATTAAAGTTTCTCTACATCTATTGCAGGAAAGTCTGCAATAGAAGATAAGTATCAATTCACTATTACTTTTTATGATATCTTGGAGTGAATTAACTATTGTGATTTTCGATATTTACCGTTTTGTTTTTGAAAGAATAATACTTATATATATTTTAATGAATGTATACATTGATGACCTGCTATTGTGTCTATAGATGCAAAAATATTTTCTTTGAATTTGAATTCCTGAAATAAAAGGATTACTTATGTCTATCATGAATTAGTTGCATAAATCTATGCATACGAGTAAGGACAACTGTTAGTCACGAAGTCAGCAGATGTACAAATGAGATGAACTTAACCCTTTACCCCCGGATGTCCACTACAGTGGACATTAGAAAAACAGTTGTAAAAAATTAACGAAGCACGACATCCAGAAACTCGAAGAACACTTTTTGTAGTAAATTTTATGGGCTATCGATTAGTAAAAAAATTCCCGTTTATTTCACTACACTCGCTCCAAAATACACGGCTTATAAAATCGATAATTTTAAAAAAAGACAATTTTT